CTGATCAGTTTCAGCAGCAGCTGACTTGGGGACGCCTGGGTTTCTTAAGTTGAATCTGTATATAAGTCAGAACTAGCATCCAGATTCAGCCACGGTTGAAACTGATCAGTTTCAGCAGCGGCTGACGCCAGTTCCGACTTACATACAGATTCAACTTAAGAACAAACCTACAGTCCCTATCTTGTACGTAACCCGGGGACTGCCTGTAATTAAAAAAAATAAATGTACAATTTTCATAGTCTTATTATGATTCTGTGGGTAGAACTCATCTAGGACCATAATAAGGCTTATAACCAGTGCTGAAAATGCAACACAGTATTAGGAGGTGACATACTGTTTAAAGTTATTACATGTTTGATGAGGACATTAAATCAAGGTCCACATTGCCTATATCACAAGGCTATTCAAGTGGAAGTTAATAACTCACACAGAAATTTTAAAGAGTCAGAGATAAATTCCATGGTTTGATCAACTTTCCCTTCTGCAGTAATAAAACAGTCTAAGTACACAGTATATGGCAGTGGTTCTTAAAATATTAACTATAGTGGGTTGCTTGTGTTATGTGGGCCATGTCTAATACTACCAATATGGCCTTACGTACATCACATGCACTGTAGCTATGTGTTGATTGGGTTGCAAGTGGCCCACAGGCAGCATGTTGAGAACCATTGGTATCAGGTAATCTGAATTTCTGTGAGTGCATAATGATCATTATTTTTCCTTCTGAATAATGTTGCCGTAAAACCATTTGGGTGCATAAAGTTCCAGGCAAGCAGATTCCTGTGCTGCCATTTCCCCAGTCAGGGAGAGAGGTAGTGGCAGCACATGGAGCTGCTTTCTCCTCCCCATGAGCAGGATCCAGCCTATAAGGCTCAGAGCTCCTCCCACACACCCCACAGCACTGGCACTCCAACCTCACAGGGGGAGGAGGGAAATGAGGCTGGAGCACAAGTGCAGGCTTCCCACTACAGGGAAGAGGGAGTGCCAAGCCTGCGGACCACTAGTGGTCTGTAGACCACACTCTGAGAATCACTGTTCTAGGTTAAAGCTTATATGAGAAGTTAACACTTTATTATTTCTTTGTTTCGGTTTTTACCAGGAAGGTTGGTGGTAATTGTGAATGTCAGTGAAAATTAGGTAGGATCAAAAGCCAAAGTAGGACAAGAACAAGTTAAAAAATACAAGTTAGATGCCTTCAGCTCACCAGGGCCTGATGAAATACATCCTGGAATACTTGAGGACCTGACTGAAGAGATAACTGAATCTCTAGCTTTTATCTTTGAAAAGTCATAGAAGATGGGAAAGATTTCAGCAGACTGGAAAAGGGCAAATATAGTGCCTGTCTATAAAAAGGAAATATAATGGAGCAAATAAATAAACAATTTGCAAGCATCTAGAAGATAATAAGGTGAAAAATAACAGTCAGCATCGATCTGTCAAGAAAAAATAATGTCAAGCCAACCTGACCATTTTCTTTGGCAGGGTAACAGGCCATTTTTTGATGGAAGGCAGCTGTAGATATGGTACATCTTGGCTACGTCTACACTGGCCCCTTCTCCGGAAGAGGCATGCTAATTTAGAACTTTGGAATAGGGAAATCCCCCGCGGGATTTAAATATCCCCCGCGGGATTTAAATAAACATGGCTGGGGGGGTTTTTCTGGGCCACTTTTTTCCGGCTTGGGGAAAAGCCGGAAAAAAGCGTCTAGACTGGCGTGATCCTCCGGAATAAAGCCCTTTCCCTTGCAAGTAGGAATAAGAGATCCTCCAGAAAAGGGCTTTATTCCGGAGGATCACACCAGTCTAGATGCTTTTTTCCGGCTTTTCCCCAAGCCGAAAAAAAAGCGGCGGCCATGTTTATTTAAATCCCACGGGGCGGCTTGGGGAAAAGCCGGAAAAAAGCGTCTAGACTGGCGTGATCCTCCGGAATAAAGCCCTTTCCCTTGCAAGTAGGAATAAGAGATCCTCCAGAAAAGGGCTTTATTCCGGAGGATCACACCAGTCTAGATGCTTTTTTCCGGCTTTTCCCCAAGCCGAAAAAAAAGCGGCGGCCATGTTTATTTAAATCCCACGGGGGATATTTAAATCCCCCGCAGATTTCCCTATTCCAAAGTTCTAAATTAGCATGCCTCTTCCGGAGAAGGGGCCAGTGTAGACGTAGCCCGTGAGTTTTGATATTGTTTTGCATAACATTCTCAAACAACTTAGAGAAATACAACCTAAATGGAGCTACTATAATGTAGATGCATAACTGGCTGGGTAACTGTTCCCAGAGAGTAGTTAACAATGTTTCACAGTCATGCTGGAAGGGCATAACTAGTGGAGACCTGAAGTTCTGGGTCTAGTTCTGTTCAATATTTTAGATAATGGCATAGAGTACACTATAAAGTATGAAGACGATAGCAAGCTGGGAAGGGTTGCAAGTACTTCTGCTATGATCAAAATTCAAAATGATCTGGACAAACTGGAGAAATGGTCTAAAGTAAGTAAGATGAAGTTCAATAAGGACAAATGAAAAGTAGTCCAATTAAGAAGGAACAATCAGTTGCACACATGATAAATGACTGCCTAGGAAGAAGAACTGCAGGAAGGGAGTTGGATGACATAGTGGACCACAAACTAAATATGAGTCAACAGTGTGACATGGTTGCAAAAGAGGCAAACATCATTCTGGGATACATTAGGAGGAGTTTTGTATAGTTAGCAAGACATGAAATTAATTTTTCTACTCTACTCCACACTGATTAAGCCTCAGCTGGAGTAGTGTGTCCAGTTCTGAGCACCACAATTCAGGAAAGATGTGGACATAGTCTAGAAAAGAGCAACACAAATGATTCAAGGCCTAGAAATCATGAGCGATGACGGATGATTGAAAATAATGGGTTTGTTTAGGCTGGAAAAGAGAAGACTGAGAGGGGACTTAACAGCTTTCAAATACACAAAAGGTTGTTACAAGGAGCAGGGAGAAAAACTGTTCTTAACCTCTGAGGATAGGAAAAAAAATCAATGGGCTTAAATTGCAGCAAGGGAGGTTTAGGCTGACATTAGGAAAAACTTCTCAACTGTCAGGGTGGTTAAGCATTGGAATAAACTGACTAGGGAGCATGTGGAATCTACATTACTGGAGATTTTTAAGAGCAGGTTAGACATACAACTGTCAGGGATGGTCTAGATAACACTTAGTCCTGCCATGAGTGCATGGAACTGGACTAGATGACCTCTTGAGGTCCCTTCTAGTCCTATGATTCTAAATCATCCTGCTCTGACCACTACTACTGGCTGTTTTGCATGAACCTGCCTGAAGAGCCAGATCCATAAGCAGCCTCTGAGCATGCCTCTGAGATAAGGCTTCCATTTCCCCCATGCAACTTAGGCCAGTGGTTTTCAAACTTTCTTCCTCACGATTCAGTTGAAGAAAATTATTGATGCCCGGGACCCAACATAATTTGACTAGAGAATGGGCTCCAGGGTGGGTCTCAGGATGAGAGCTTTGGGATGTAGGAGGAAGCTCTGGCTTGGGGGGAGGGTGGGTGGGAGGTCAGGTCTGAGGCAGGAGAGGCTTACTTTGAGTGGCTCCCAGTCAGTGGTACAGCAGGGGTGCTAAGGTAGGCTTTCTGCCTCTCCTGTTACCGCAGACCAGGCTGAGCCCCAGAAGCAGAGTGCAAAAGGTTCCCAGCCAATGGGAGTGCAGAGTTAGTGTTTGAGGCAGAGGCAGAGGCAGTGACAGTGTGCGGAGCCCTGTGCACTCACTCCCCCTGTCCATCTAGGAGTCGGGCCTGCTGCCAGCCGCTTCTGGGGCACAGTGCCATCTGTGCTGCCAGGGTAGGCAGATAGCCTGCCTCAGCACCCCCACTGGTCACCTGATCACCTGCAGCAATGAGACCCAGTGCCTGACACTCCATGACCCAGAACTGGGTCGTGACCTGTAGTTTGAAAACCACTGACTTAAGCAGCTAAATGTCTCTCTTTCCTGAAACAAAAGACAGGACTATGCAGCACTTTAAAGACTAACAAGATGGTTTATTAGGTGATGAGCTTTCGTGGGCCAGACCCACTTCCTCAGGTTTGTGAGTTGCTCTGGGACTTAGGCAGGAGATAGGTGCCTACGGTGCCTAATGCATTTGCATTGAAGCCTGACTCAGAGAGGAAACAGGCGCCCAGCTGCCTCCTGAGGCTGCAGCACACACACCTAGAGATAAAAGCTTAAATGCTGAATGAAATGAGGCACCTACAAGGTTAGAAGGCAGTTGAGCAGGAGTTTTATGGATAACAGTGGTACCTGAACATAGGATTTAACTGCATAAGTACACCTATGGATCATATTCAAATTCATTATCTGAATTTGTGTTTTTACCATGAAGAGAGCTGTTGAAAGGATTTCCTCTAATTTTTAATTTGGAACTTGGGAGCAGGATGGTGAATTCACATATATTTTTCCAGAATAGGTCTCTAAGCTTGTTAGCAGATTCTTATTCCTTATCTGTGCAATTTCCAGGAAAGCAGAGATATGAACTACATAATTCAGAGGGAAATAGTTGGTATGTCCACATTGCTGGTATTAGCTTTGAAAAATTGTGAATGTGGCCACATTGAAAGAAACTGCAAATATGAGAAACATTTAATAAAAAAACCCGAAAAAAGTATAAGCTTGCAAAACACGGTGGTGTGGAAAAATATGCTTACTTACAAAATCATAAGCAAATAACTACAGATTTTAATTCAAATGTGGGAAATACAACCCTTTACTTTTAAAAATTGTTAACTTATAACAAATACCTTCTGGTCCAATCACTTCCAGCATTCCAGAGACCTGATAAAATGTACAGAAAAAAAATTAAGAAGTTATCATTAACATTTTTTTAAAATGGGGATAGCAAACAAATTTGTTAGATGCATCTCAGTTTTAATCCAACTGGATAATTCTTCAAAATTAAAATGTTCTTTTAAAAGCAATCAGTCTGTTATACAATATTAACTTTTGATATGCTACAAATTGTCTGATTGCACTCCAAGCATAGATATCTACAGCTTTTTTTCTGACTCGGAAAGAGAACTACTGTATTTATTAAAGAGATTGGCATTAAATATATACAAATATATTCCTGTGACATACAGCTCAGAATAACGACAAGAAGCAGAAGAGCCATTTCCTAATACACACTAAGGAAAAATCCCCAATTACAAAATCTCAAAACATCAGCTATCCAATTACTTACCTGGTAGTATTTTTGAATACTGGTAGCAGTAGCCCAATACCTTTCTCCCCTAATTACTAAAAATAGGGTTTTATAATGGAATCTTAACTCTCAACAGCATGAATTGTGATGCTAGAATGCTTGATACTAACAACAAAAAAAGATCTAATAAGACAATGAAACAAAAATGTCTTGATGTCAAGAGGCTTTCACCAGAGATGTTTATGAACTATGTGCAGGATTTACAACTTTGCATGATGCATTCCTGAGATCCTAATTGATGCGATATTAAGGATATTTGCATCAAGAGTGTACAGAACCTTGACAATCCTACAAAAAGGGGTGGGGAGAATTTAACAAGGTTTGAAAATAGAAGTGAACAGGCAGTTTCAATCCATGTCACAAAAGCAGATGAAATTTGACCACTTATGTTAAAAATTACCATATATTATCGGTCTATTACCAAGACTACATTTCAGTTGTGGGGAGACTTTAAGCAGAAAAGAAAACCCAGGACGATCAAAATAGCAGATAAATTCTATTCTTGATGAAGACTGCAATTACTAATACCCATAGGGTGCGCATTAGAAGGCAGAATTTGATCCTAATGAAGCCATAAATCACTCCTATGACTGATGTTAGGCAATTATTTTAGACCTGTTTACAGAAGAATAAACTGAGTCAGAGAGACCGAGTTTAGGGCTAAATATTTGTTAAGGTACTTGGGTGCCTAGAGGGTTTTCAAACGCATTTAAGGAGATTAGGCACCAAACTCCCCGGTCCTCTGACCTGGCGGGAGAGGTGTGTGGGAGGGAAGAATCTCTTACCTGGGAGGGGGCTGCAGCGGGCGAAGGGGGTGGGAAATCTCTTACCTTCGGGGTTGCTGCCCTGGCGGTCCCCGAGCCCCAGAGCACACCGCACCTGGAGACAAAGGCAGGGCGTTTAGAAGCAGGAGCCGCGCTTCCCACTCACGGAAACGTTCCGGGGAAGGAGCCGCAGCTCCGCTACCTGTTCATGTCGCAGGCCGAGCGCGCTGGCGGGGCGACCGGCTCCCTCCGGCTCGAAACAGAGCGCTGGAGCCAGGCCTGCCCGCCGCAGCGTGACCATGGCAACAGCAACGCCAAGGCGCGGAGCGGCCAAAAACAGGGCCCGGCCTGCAACGCTGCGGCGCGAAGACCGGGGTCCGGCGCGCACAGAGCCTCCCTGCTGCCGGCCAGCGCCCCCTGGAGGCAGAGTGCGCTGCCCTTCGCGGCCCCCAGCGCTCTGCTAACTCGCGTGTAGGCGCAGGGCGGAGCTAGGGGTTCAACCCTCCCTCCAGGATTGGCCTGGTGCCTCCAGGTATTAACATGAATCTCTCATTAGAGATGCTGTCAGGACTGATGAAGCCTCCAGGACTGAATCCCATCAAAATTGGCAACCTTAGCACCGTGGGCTGTGGGTGAAGGTAGGGCTGGGGGAGACAAGCCCCCAGCTCTGCCCCTTATGCCCAGACCTCCACCATGGGGAGGGCAAAGGGTGCACAGCCTCATCTTCCCTAGCCCGGGTGCACGGGGAGGGTGGCGCACTGCCCTAGCTCATGTGCACAATGGTGGTGTGACAGCAGCTGTAGGAGACCAGCTGTACAGTATAAGGGTCTGTTGCCCTGTAGTGCTGGCAGGAACTAAGTGCATCCCCAACCACAGTCAAAGTGGCCATAGAAGTAGCTATCTGCCCTCCAACCCTGGGGATGAAGGATTCTACCCTCTTTCAATGGCTGGCATTGACCATCTCCCTTAAGCCTGGCTCCAGTTCTGTCTCCCTGCACTCAGTCTAGGGAGGGAGTTGTGGGGTTCTCTTTGTGTTCTGGGACTCTTCCAGTTCTGGTGCATCCCTGGAGTAAGAACAACCAAAGAGAGTGTCAGGAGATTTGTTTACACTACAGAAGTAAGTCAACATGATGTCTGCATACAGCCACTGCAGTAAGTATATCACTTGTACTTGTCTACATGTCAATCCTTGTATTGGCTGTGCATGTCTTCGCCAGGAGCTATTGTATTGATTGTACTGTCATGGCATCTGAAAGCCAGTAACAGTTAGTGTAGCCACTCTTAACTACATCAATATTGACTCTATGCCTCTTACCGAGATGGAGTTATTAATTCAGCATAGCAAGGCCGTTATGCCAGCGAGAGCAACATTTTTGTGCAGAAACTTACGTAGGGTAACCCTATGATGTAAGGTGCCTTGCATCAACCTAACACTATAGAATAGACCAAACCTAAGGACTTGCCTTTAAAAGGAAGTTAGAGCAGTTTAATTTACATCACTTTGTAAACAAATGTAGTTAAGTCACAGCTATTACTGGTTTCAGATTGAGTCATTTAGTTTAATTTAAATTGATTCCATATTGAGTTACGTTATGTCTGCACTACCAAAACTTATGTTGCTCAAGGGTAATGAAAAAACCAAATATCTGAGCAGAGTAAGTTTCCATAGACATAAGTGCTCATGTGCACAGTGCTATGTTGATGAGAGATACTCTCTTACTTAGGTGGTTTTACTATGTTGACTAGAGAGCTCCTGTTGGTATGGAGTTGTTGCCGGAACACAGTGCCCGAGGAAGGCAACAGCTGGGTTCGTTGCCCGGTGTGCGCGCTCCAATGAACACACCGGTGTGGAGAAGCAAAAAAAGTTTATTTGAACGCTCAAATAGGTGCCAGGAGACTAGACCTCAGATCAAGCACACCAACGTAAGCAGTTTTCCCTCCTTATATACCCAAGTTGTTTACTTGCAGGAATATAGTGAACTGTAGCAAGGTTCCCACACTGGGACATGTTCCTCCTCCCTCCTCCCCTCTACAGAAACACATCTGAATTCTTCTTCTATACCACTGATAGTAACTAGGCAACTTCAAGGTCTTGCTGCCGTTCCCAGCTGTTAGCGAGCTAGAGAAAAGTTATGCCTGGGGGGGGAAAGGGTGGAAGGGGGGGGAAGGGGGCTTTAAAGGGGCGGAAGGGGGGGGAAGAGGGGTGCTTTTAGGGTGCTTGGGCCCAGAGCGGAGGCGTTTCATCGATCCTTGTGATCTTCCACTCCCCCGAGTTACCTAGGATCATGCCCAGTGACCCCAACAGAGTGGTTACACATTTTTCAAAAGCAAAACAAAAAATGTGTTGTGTAATAACTTCCTGCTTCACCCCATCAGGAAAAGTAATAAGCAACATATTTTTTCTTAATAAGACTCTTAACCTGCAAATATTTGCATATGTAACTAACTAAAATGTGCTTATCTCCAACAACGTAAGATGGCTTTCAAGATAAGGTACACCCTTTTTTTTAATAAGTTGCTTCCTCTGTTGAGGTAGAGCTTCTTCAGGGTCTTGTGGAATAGTTTTTTATGTTGCATGCTCCAATTGTAGAGTCTATCAGCAGGCTGCATGGCCAGAATATGCTATTCTTTACTTCAGCTATTTTTGACTGCCTAGAGAGTCATGTAAAGCATGAGTGTGAATTGGGCCTTGTCTACACAAGTACCTATAAAAACTACAGATGTGATTTTTAAACCCATTTAATAAAACCAGTATACATCTTTCTGTGGACATTCTTATTTCACCAATATTTCATTTCAGATTTTTGGGACCTATGTGTTTTCTCAATATGTATCTATAACTCCCAATAGTATAAATGCATGTTACATATTCTTTTGGAGCACCCACATCCTAAAAAATAACATGAGCCAGCAACACACTGATGTGTTTCATTAAAAGGGATCCGATCTAAAATTCACCTGGTTTCTGAAAGGGAGAAAGTAATTCATACAAATTTGCTTTCTTACTCCAGTCAGATCTTCTGCATTTTCTGGTTGTATTCTCTCTCTCATTCTAAGAGCTACACAAGGGAGTGGAAATTACTACAAATGTATGGCTCTTGTTTTTTGTGAGATCCAAAAGGATGGGAGCAAAGAAAATTGAGGTTCTTCATTCTGTGCTGTTTATTAGACCATACTTGTGAGTATATGGGCTGAGCAGGGCCGACTTATCCATTAGGCACAGTGCCTAGGGCCCATGATACTTTTAGGGGCCCACAAAAATGTTTTAATTTCTTTTAAAACCAGAAGAAAAAAATGAACTTTTAGGGTCGAAGAAAATGTTTTAATTTTTTTCTCGCAGCAGAAAAAAATGAAACTTTTAGGGCCCACGAAAATTTTTTAAATTTTGTCTAAAACAGAAAAAACATAAAATGCTGAAGTATTTAAAATTATATCAAAAATAATTTTTAATATTTTTTTTTATGGAGGAAGGGGCCCACAAAGGCAAAAGTGCCTAGGGCCCACGAAAGTCATAATGTGGTCCGGAGGCTGAGGGATTATTTTATTCATCCTGCAGGAAGCTAAGTAGGGGGATTCTTGTCCAAATGGGAAGGCTCCCCAATGAAAATTATTTCTTTTCTTTTCCATCACCCGCTGGATTATTGGAGGGGTGATAATCATTAGACCACAAGCCTTTCTAATCTCTCTTCTTGAGGTATGTGACCCTTTTTAAGAAACTTATTCAGCTCATTGGGGATGGAGAGCAGGAGGAGAGAGGGGACCTGTGATTGGTGGGATGTTGAGGGTTCATGTAATTTCCAAGAACTAATTGAGGTAGAACCACATATTAAGGTTGTGATTTTAGAGTTAGCATGCATTACTATTGCTCCTCCAAAGTCCGTTTTACTTATTGTACCTGATGTTATCATCAGTCAGTCTAATTACTCTGATAACACTGCTCACAGTTCTGATTATTATCTCTAATTTAACAATTCAAATACTAAACATGCCCTATATTACATTTATTTTGCAAATAATACTGTAGATTTAATAAGCTGTATAATGACCTTGACAAGCTTTTTATTAAGAAGCTCATAAGATTTGGTCTTATGTTGGCACAAAAGAAGATTTGGTTAATATTTGGGAATAATTGAAAAGGTGATTACCTTTGACACTGAAAAATGTACTGCTTCTCCTCCCCGTTCTTACTGTGCTCATGAAGAGTGACTCCCATTAAGTTAATGGAGTTACATTGGTGTAAAATAATGGCCAGTAGAGAACCATACCTTCTGTATTTAGCCACTAATGACTACATGCAATTTTTTAAAAGTATAATGTAATCAGGTGTTAAGATTTTAATTGACCCTTGCAGGATTGTGCAAAGACCTTTCTTCCACCACAGACCTGCAAGGGCTAAGCACAATAGCAGTCACTGTGAAAAGTGCTATCTCTAGAGAGCAAACCACTCAGAATGGGAGGAGATGGGGTGCAATGGCCTGTGCAGTGGGACCAGAACACCATAGTTGAGGAATCTGTGCTATGAAATAGGACAGAATGCTCCCTGAACATCCTCAGGCTGCCTTTACTTTTACACTGATTTTTATAAAGGGGTCCAGAGGCAATCCTTATTGGTGAGCTTAACTTTAGCACTGGACAAACTGATAGAAATTATAGTAAAGAACAGAGTTATCAGATATAGATGTACATAATTTGTTGGGGAAGAGTCACTATGGCTTTTGAAAAGTGAACTCATGTCTCACCAATTTATTAGAATTATTTGAGGCAGTCAACATACGTGCACAAGGGTGATCCAGTCAATATAGTATATTTGGATTTTTAGACAGTCTTTGATAAGATCCCTCACCAAAGGTCCCTTAGGAAACTAAGTAATCATGATATAACACAAAAGTTCTTTCAATTATCAGTAATTGGTTAAAACCTAGGAAACAGAGGAAGAATTAATGGACAGTTTTCATAATAGGGTGGGGATAAACAATTCTCCCAGGGATCAGTACTGAGATATATGCTGGTCACCACATTCATTATTGATCTGGAATAGGGAGTGGACAGTTCAGGGGCACTGCACTGCTCTGCTTCCCCTTTTAAGCTCCAGTTTGTGTATTCTTTGCAGGTGTGGCTTGCTGGAGTAACCTGGGCCCAGAGGTGCTCTTTCATCCCTTGTTCTTTAGTGTGGGATTTGTACACCCCGTCACAAATGCACACTGAAATAATCCCAGCTACTAGCTGTCTCCTCTCAAGAAAGTGACATTGGGGCCATTGTAGATAGCTCTATAAAAACTTCAGTTCAATGTGCTGCTGTGGTCAAAAAGTATGTTAAGAACTATTAGGAAAGGGATAGAAAATAAAGCTGGTAT